CTGTTTTTATTTGGTTATTGATCCATTGATTATTTAGGAGCATGTTGTGAAACCTCCATGTGTTTGTGGGCTTTTTTGTTTTCTATGCATAATTTATTTCTAGTTTCATACCTTTGTCATCTGAGAAGCTGGTTGGTACAATTTCAGTCTTTTTGAATTTACTGAGGCTCTTTTTGTGGCCTAGTATATGATCTATTCTTGAAAATGTTCCAGGTGCACTTGAGAGGAATGTGTATCCTGTTGCTTTTAGATGAATTGTTCTGTAGATATCCGTTAGGTCCATCTGTTCTAATACGTTGTTCAGTGCCTCTGTCTCTTTACTTATTTTCTGTCTGTTTGATATGTCCTTTGGAGTGAATGGTGTGTTGGAGTCTCCTAAAATGAATGCATTGCATTCTGTTTCCCCCTTTAATTCTGTTAGTATTTGTTTCACATATGTAGGTGATCCTGTGTTGGATGCATAGATATTTATAATGGTATATCCTCTTGTTGTACTGACCCCTTTATCATTATTTAATGTCCTTTTTTGTCTCTTGTGACTTTCTTTGTTTTGAAGTTATTTTGTCTGATACAAGCACTGCAACTCCTGCTCTTTTCTCCCTGTTAGTTGCATGAAATATATTTTTCCATCCCTTTACTTTCAGTCTGTGTATGTCTTTGGGTTTGAAGTGAGTCTCTTGTAGGCAGCATATAGATGCGTCTAGTTTTTTTATCCATTCAGTGACTCTATGTCTTTTGATTGGTGCATTCAGTCCATTTACATTTAGGGTGATTATCAATAGGTATGTACTTATTGCAGGCTTTAGATTCGTGGTTACCAAAGGTTCAAGGGAAATTAATTCCCTTACTAACAGTCTAATTTAACTCACTTTGTATTCTATTGCAAACACAACCTAAAGGTTCTTTTTTTTTTTTCCCTTCTTTTCTTCCTCCTCCATTCTTTATATGCTAGGTATCATATTCTGAACTCTTTGCCTATCCCTTGATTGACTTTGGGGGTAGTTGATTTGATTTTGCATGTGCTTAGTAATTAATTGTTCTACTTTGCTCTGGTTTTATTTCCCCCGGTGACATCTGTTTAGCCTTAGGAATACTTCCATCTATAGCAGTCCCTCCAAAATACACTACAGAGGTGGTTTGTGGGAGGTAAATTCTCTCAGCTTTTGCTTATCTGCAAATTGTTTAATCCCTTCTTCAAATTTAAATGACAACCTTGCCAGGTAGAGTATTTTTGGTTCTAGGCCCTTCTGCTTCATTTCGTTAAATATATCATGGCACACTCCCTTCAGCCTGTAAGGTTTCTGTTGAGAAATCTGATGATCGCCTGATGGGTTTTCCTTTGTATGTGATCTTTTTTCTCTCTCTAGCTGCTTTTAAAAGTCTATCTTTATCCTTGATCTTTGCCATTTTAATTATTATATGTCTTGGTGTTGTCTTCCTTGGGTCCCTTGTGTTGGGGAAATCTGTGCACCTCCATGACTTGAGAGACTATCTCCTTCCCCAGATTTGGGATGGGAAGTTTTCAGCAATTACCTCCTTGATAACACTTTCTATCCCTTTTTCTCTTTCCTCCTGATACCCCTGTAATGCGGATATTGTTCCGTTTGGATTGGTCACACAGTTCTCTCAATATTCTTGAATTCTTAGAAATCCTTTTTTCTCTCTGTGCCTCAGCTTCTTTGTATTCCTCTTCTCTAATTTCTATCCCATTTACCGACTCTTCCACTACATCTAATACGCTTTTAAATCCCTCCATTGTATGTTTCATTTCAGATATGGAATTTCTTAATGATTGAATCTCCATCTTAAATTCGTCCCTGAGTTCTTGAATATTTTTCTGTACCTCCATGAGCATGTTTATGATTTTTATTTTAAACTCTCTTTCAGGAAGACTAGTGAGTTCAGTTTCATTTGGCCCTTTTTCTGGGTTTTGTGAGATTTTGGTCTGAACCAGGTTCCTTTGACATTTCATATTTCTATGTGGCACCCTCTGTTGTGCAGAAGCTCCAGTCTCTGGAGCTGCTCATCCCCTAGAGTGAGGTTGGGCGTTGTAGGGGAGTGGCACTATTTCCTGATTCCCAGCTGCAGTGCCTGTCTCCAGTATCAGAGCCAGTAGGCTGAGCACACAGGTGTAAGCCTCTGCTTTGTGTCTCTAGCTGTTGTAGGCGGGGCCTCCTTCTGGCTGGCCTGATGCCAGCACAGTGACTGCCAGTTTTTGAGCAGGTGCCAGCAGGCCAGGAGGAAGGCACAGCCGGCTGCATGTCACAATGGGTGGCCTCGTAGCTGAGTAGGCATTCAGGGGGATGGAGTGCCTGAAGCTCCTCTAAGTTCCCAACCTGCTGGGCAGCGTGCACCCAGACAACCTTGTTCACCTATCCCTTCTCCCGCATAGCAAGCTCTGTGCAAACACCACCCCTTCAGCAGCCCTCTCGCTGCTAGGAAGCCTCTCAGATGGCCTGCCTTTCCTTTGTCCCAGAATGGCCAAACATGGATCCTGTCCTCCACAAATGGCCGGAATCTGTCTCTCAAGTACTCTGCCTGTCCCAGCTCCTCAACCCCACCAACCCCAGAGCACCACACAATGTAGGTTTGTGCTACAAAGCAGACCTCCAGAGCTAGGTGTTCAGTAGTCCCAGGCTTCCACCCCTCCCCACTCCATTTCTCTTCCTCCCCCTGGTGAGCTGGGGTGGGGAAAGGGCTTGGGTCCTGCCGGATCGAGGCTTTCGTACGTTACCGTTTCGTGAGGTCTGCTCTGTTTGTGATGTCTGTATGCAGTCTGGTGCAGCCTTCGTTCCTGTTGCTGTTTTAGGGCTATTTGTATTAACTATATTTTCACACTGTATGTGGTTTTGGGAGGAATTCTCTGCCTCACCTCTCACACCACCATCTTGAATTCTCCATAGGTGTCATGTACTTTTTGGTATCAGATGCTGCTTCTCCTTCTCTACTCCTGGGGTAAGATCCTTATACCAGGTTGTCTTCCACACTCTTGAAAGTATTCATGGTAAGCTAGGAAGTCATTGCACCTCCGGGAAGAGAGAAGAAACATGATAAAGTATGACTTGACTATGTTTTCCAATCAGGAGAGAATGATTTTTTCTCCCAACAAACTGCCTCTGTAAGGATGAAGAACTGCTAAACAGTTTTTATGAAGACAATGGTTTCCTTAGCAACCACAAATGATCACCACTTTTCTTCTTCTTTTTTGTGTGCAGTTTTCTTTAGTAGCCTAACCTGAAAGTAACAACATTGGTTAGCTCTTTATTGAAGAGTATCTGAGATTTTCTCTTGTCTTTGCTTTGCTGTCACTCCCAACAGGCTGAAAACTGTGTTCTGCTTTTATAGCCAATCATGACATGCTGCACAACAACTTGGCCTTTAGTCAATTACTCAGTTATGTAGGAACTATTTTCCAAAAATGTATTATGTACAAAGCACTCTGAGGGCTGTAAAGGCAAGGCAAGACTTAGGTATAAATCCAAGTCAGTATAAGTGTTACTCAAATAAATGTTGCACACCAAACAACAATCTTTGAAGGTCTACTACTGCCTACAATTATTTTTTCTCCACTAGCACTATTTACAATAGAACAGACAAGTAGCAGTGTATTGGGGTCTGGATTTTGGTGGTGCACATTCAGACAGGAAATATGATATATGTGAACTTCTTTGTTAAGTAAAATAAGATTCGTTATGTACTAATCAAAAATTTTGTTGCTCTCAAGATTTTCTGTGCTTGGAAATCACATGAAAACTAAGTGACAGATTCTAATTCTGTTCTCTTACTTGTGTACATAGCTTTGAAGACACTGATTTATCAGGAATATTATTTGAGTATATGCTTGTATACAAAGCCCTGTGTTATATGTTTTAGGGCCCAACAGAAGAATTAGGCAACATCTCATTTCTTAATGAGGAAATCTTACAATATAGTGATACATGCAAAAAATATATATACAGAGGAAATGTGAAGAACAATTGAGCTGCTCATGGCCAAGTGCAAAGTGATGTTATGTAAGCTTAATGCTGTACTGAGGGGCTTAAATGCAATAGATTGATTATTGTGTAGGTTTAATTAGGCAAGAAAGTCTTTTCACTGGGCGTTAAAGGAAATGAGGGATGAGACTTACCAGACAGTCTTGTTTTCGTGACTTGAATAGGCTCACTCTGCCTTTCTTGAATGTGACTGCTCTATTTCACATTTTCCCCACCAAAAGTATTTGGGTAGGTGAGGTCTCTGCCCAAGCTTATCATTATTAGAAGTACTCTACAAAATCCTTTATCAGAAAGAGGCTTTGGAAAGTCTGCCGTAGTTCCCTGTAATTATACCTGAGAGTTCTATGTAAAGATCCTGTTGAATACCTCCATGAAAATTTGTTGGTTACCAAGCATCTCTGGGGAGCTTCCAGGCCTTAGAGAAGTTCTTTTCTTCCCTGTGCTGCCAGACAGGAAGGAAATCTTTCTATGAAGCTTTTTTAAGGATATAGAGGATTTCTCACATTCAGGGGTAATAGCAATAGTGGTCCTCTGTGATCCAAGTTCTGTATTAGGTGCTGATTGGGATATAAAATAGAGGTAGATAGAGTTCTTACTTCAGAGAGATTATCATTTGACAGGGCTTGAGATTTAGAGCATGAGGGGGAGATCAGAATAATTTACTTTCTGTTTATATTTGGTAGAGGGTATGTCCCTGGGAGCCATCCTCATCTCATTCCCCGTCTTGATCTAAGTCTCACTCAATGCTCCCCCTGGACTTGTAGCCACTTGGACCTTCTCAATGTTATGCATGATGTTGCTGATTCAGCTTGGCTATAACATGAACAGAGCCAACCGTAAATGTGTGGAACTTCCACTGGACTCTGCTCCTTATCCTGCATAGAATGTGTCACCTAGCTGCTTCCCTCAGTGCTTAGTTGGCAGTAGCCTGGAATGGTTCCCATTATTATCCCTTACCTCCTCCCTTTCTATTTCTTGCTTCCCTTATATCTGGTTTCCATTTAGATGCTGACATCAGAAAGAATACAGCCTCAAACAGATCTTTCATTTCCTCTCAATCCTTGTAAGTACTTTTTTTTAAAAAATAAAATCTTGGGGTATGTGGAGAAACAAACCCAATTCTTGGCCTGTGAATAGGAAAGGCTATGGCTGAAGTCATCCGGATTCACACAGAGGCAAGGTTGGGCCTGTCTGACAAGGTCAGGAGCCCAGGAGAAGGGACAGAAGACCATTGGTTCAGACAAGGTGGGCTCTGGTGGAGGTACAGCTTGTAGTGTGGGCTGCTCCTCCTCTGTCTACTCTGATTTTAGCAAAGGTCCCCAGAAGATCAGGTCCCAAAAGAGAGCAGTGATCGTGATTTCTGAGTATGATATCAAATTGAGCATGTTCCACATTGTAGACCCAACCAGGGGAAACAGTAGCTCATTTGAGAACAAGAGTAGTCTTTCATAGTCCACAAAGCAGTTTTACTCATTTTATTTTGTAAAAACTAGCATTCTAATCCCATTTTACAGTTAAAGAAACTGAGTTAAGTTTAGAGAAAGGAAGTGATACAGAACCCCCAACTAGCAATGCCACGTAATGCTAGTAAGTAGGATTTGAACCCATTTTAGAACTAAAAGGCCAGTATGTTTTCCACTATTCACATGTCTGAAGATGACAGAAAAGAAGCTGAGCAGACTGGGCATGCTATGAGTGTTTTCTCCGTCCAGAAACCACTGTGTGTGGGATCAGATCCTGGAGGGAAGGCTCCCATCTTCCTGTTTTTTTGTCTCTGTGCTCAACTTTCCTTGAATCTCTCCTTTCCAGCTCCAGCTGCTTCCTACACTCCACATCTGCTGAGGCGGTGGCCATGGGGCTCCTGAAACAGTTTGAGGGGATGCAGCTCCCAGCCGCCTCAGAGCTGGAGTGGCTAGTTCCAGAGCATGATGCCCCTCAGAAGGTAGATTCTTCTGTTGTTTTTCTCTACCCACCGTCCAGCCCCAGGAGGCCGTGAGCCTTTCTGATTTTGTTCTCCTTTCTCACATGCCTCCAGTGTAGAATGTGCCTATGTGTTTCCTTCCTTACTCACAGAAGCCGTTCATTACAAATGTGTTAGATGAATACCTGAATGTATGCATGCTTGCCTAGCTTTTCCCTGGCAATTGTCAAAACAGGGGATAATGGCCCCCTCACTGTCTGTATTCTATATAACTGCTCACTAGACCCAGAGGTGGAATTCCTGTGTGACACTGAAAACCTGTGAGACACTGAAAAAGTGAATTGTTCAGATTTTTCTTTGCTCTGCAGTGAGTAAGGCATGAAGCACCCTGGGGTGGGTCCAAGGACAGCATTAGCAATTGGTGCCATGACTCTGGGATGCTGTTTCTGTTCCTTTTCCTGGTGCCATATAGTTTGTTTCAAGGATCAGGGTTCTCTGAAGCCTTTCCCCATGTGTTCCTGAAATGTCTTGCATTACCTACGCTTCTGTCAAGGCCAGAGGGTCAAGCATTTGTGTTCCCCAAGACTGACCATGTTAGATCACCCTGTGCTTTTCTTCCGCAGCTCCTGCCCATCCCAGACTCACTGCCTATCTCACCTGATGACGGGCAGCATGCTGACATCTACAAGCTGCGTATTCGTGTTCGTGGCAATCTTGAATGGGCCCCACCCCGTCCTCAGATAATTTTTAATGTTCATCCAGCCCCCATGTGAGTAGCCATTGGGAAATTGAATCATCATCTCTGGATTGGCAGGGCTCTCTCCTCACCTTCTTGTCTCTGCCTCCAGCTCTACCTCACACACAGTTCTGTTTATTTAAAGGCAGAGGGAGAGGAGCATCCATCCTAATCTTAGTGCTCCCAGTCCTTCCCAGAGCTAACTGGAAATGAGGACTTTTATCATGGCCTCCTCAAACTGTTGCCTTCCTCAATAGTTTTGTGAGCTTATTGTTTTTTCTTCTCTTAATTGGATGGATGCTTTTCTTCCCTATTGTTCTCTCTTCTTAACTATTTCTTATCTCTTATATTTGTATAGAAAATATGGGTCAGTATTCAGGAGAGATGCTGCCTAGACCTAAATTTTAACTTTATAATCCTCGTTTGAACTGGTTCTCCCAATAGGTTCATTTTGTCCAACTCTAAAACAAGAGGTGAATTTCCCTCTCTTCCCATACTTAGTAAGAGCCGTATGTTTATACCCTCATCCTTTACTCTTAGAGTCCTCACACCGCTGGTATCTGCCAACCCCTACTCCTTCCCCTTCCCTCAGGAGGAAAATTGCTGTGGCCAAGCAGAATTACCGCTGCGCAGGATGTGGCATCCGGACTGACCCTGGTGAGTGTCTTCTCCAGCCCCCAGACTGCCTCCATTGGCTCTTGCACACTTGGGAGAGGGACCAGGCAGAGAGGTAGTAAGAGGAGGTGACAGAGCAGAACCTGGGGAAAGGGACAGAAGGGGCCTGGACGTGAAAGGTAGGACAAGGCAAGATCACTGACAGCGGCAAATCATTTCTGGGAGCACATTAACAGGATTGTAATGGGGCCCATTCAGCCAGGTTCTTGGAGGCTGGATCTTACACCAACTCTGTCAGGGTTCGTTTCAGTGGCCTTCAGGATGGGACACAAACCACAGGCCACACCATGTGGGTTTCTGCAGCTTTGGGAGCTCAAACCGGCTATCCTTTCCTGCTCTTTCAAAAGGAATGGCAGAGCCACTGTGCCAGCATATAGATGGGAAACCACATCTGCCTTTTTGACCCTTGGTTTTCCTAGATTATATCAAGCGGCTACGGTACTGTGAGTACTTGGGCAAGTTCTTCTGTCAGTGCTGCCACGAAAATGCCCAGATGTTCATCCCCAGCCGAGTTCTACGCAAGTGGGATTTCAGCAAATATTATGTCAGCAACTTCTCCAAGGACCTGCTCATTAAGATCTGGAATGATCCTCTCTTCAACGTGCAGGACATCAATGGTGCCCTCTATAGGAAGGTCAAGCTTCTCAATCAAGTCCGGGTAAGACCTTTGTAAAGGCCACATCACAAATTATGCATCTCATCTCCTCATCCCTTCCCTCTTTTCCTGCAGACTTCCCCCAACTCACCACACTTCTCTGCCACCACATCAGAGCTGCAGCCTTCTCATTGTTCATGCTTTCTCTATACACTTCCTTAATCTGTTGCCTTTTCCCAAGTATCTGTCTAGTGAGAGCCACAAAGCTGGCAACAGTAGCTCTGAGGCTACAGGTAGCCCTCCATGGCAGAAGCAGGATTTCTCTCTGCACTGAAAATATCACTAAGTGGAGAATAGGGTATCAGGTGGGAAATTCAAATTCTGGGTTTCTTAGTGGCTCCCAGCTGTGTGATTTGGGCAGCCTGACCTAGCAAAGGAGCCTTCCCTGACACTTTGAAGCAAGTTGTTGAGTTACAGGTACAGAGGACAGTCAGGCTCTGGCTGCTGCATGCGAAGCTTCCAGACCCCGACGGTTTAAAGGCACTGGTCATTCGAACAGTTGTTCCTCCCTTGTCATACCCTTTCTTACCCCCAACCCACCATCACAATGTCTTTCCCTTCAGCTGCTGCGGATCCAGCTGTATCACATGAAGAACATGTTTAAGACATGCCGACTGGCCAAAGAGTAAGTCTTGTGGGGAGGCCAGATGCCTCTGGATGGTTTAATGTCTCTGAAAGAGACATGTCCTAGCAGTTGGCCCTTGTCATGTAAAGGAGGAGAGTAGGGGGTTCTTGCAGAAAATTTCAGAAATGGTAAATGAGAAGCCTACAGCAGTAATAGCATCTATATTCTTCTCTAGAAGAGGAAATCTGGTTATTCTCTCCAGGACCTACCTACCACTCTGTACAAGCTGGTATGAATCACTGTGTATAAGAGTCACTTCTGCCACCTAAATACCTGGTGGTGTGGAAGGCCTGGTGGCCTGGAGCACCTAGGCTGGCTGAGTGTTGCCCAACCCCGTTACTTCTGCCTGGGGCCCTTCTCTTCCCTATCCCTCTTCTGGATAGAGATCTCTACTCTGATGTACCATACAAAGTGTTCATTCTCTGTTCCTACTCCCTTCCCCTCATTATCTATAGGATTCTGGATTCCTTTGACATGGTTCCAGGCCACCTGACAGAGGATCTCCACCTGTACTCACTGAATGACCTGACTGCAACCAGGAAAGGGGTACTTGGGCCCAGGCTTGCTGAGCTCACTAGGGTGGGAGCTGCCCATGTAGAGCGATGCATGGTAAGCAAGTCTCTCTCACTGGGACTGGGCCCTTGCTGAGGGATGTGGGGAATGGTGGACAGGGTTCCTGTCATTTGGTTCCAGGAAGTTGAAATGGCCTGTCAACCCTGTGGGAAACACTAGACAGGATTGCTCTTCCTTAGGTTGATGAAAAGATAAAAACTGTCTAGGTTTCAAGAACCTAGAATTAGAAAAGAGGATTTGGTGCACACATTGCCCCCTGGGTAATGAGCAGGACTAAACAGGCCTTCATTATAGAATTGTCATAACATGGAAGGAGAAGCCTGGGATCTGGGTCTTGGCTTTGTCATTTTCAATCAGTGTGACCAAAGGAAATACTTGCCCACTCTGAGATTAGCCTCAATGTTCTTATCTCTAAAATGAAGATAATAATACCCACTCTCCTTTCCTCTCAGTATTTTTGAAGATCAGTGGAAAAATGTATGTGGAAGTATTTTGTAAACTTCAAGTATTCTATGCATGCAAGTTGTTTTTGTTCTTGATATGCCCAACATGCCAGAAATTCGGAAGTTTCAGTTTTAGAATTTCCCATCCTAGAATATGTCCAATTTGTATTCCCGTGAACAGTCCCAGAATTAGAACTTAAAGTGGGTCATATGTAGAAATTCTGTGTAGCATGGGAAATTAGAAAGACTTCACTGTACCCTGACTCAAGGCTGGGTGTTATTTTGAAGAAATATCCTTGTCTTCACATTTTATCTTAATTGGTTCCCATTTCAAAATAAAATTATTACCCAGACTGGAACATTGACTTTAGGAAGCCCTTGTGTGGCCCCATTCCCTCCTTCTTTTGACGTCTTCATTGAGAGTTATCTTATGGGTGATGGATTGTCTCAGAATGGTGGCTCTCTTTATTCCCCAAGTAAAGCTTTATGTAACACTGCCCAGCCTGGCCCCATTTAGCTATTGTGCTCTGAAGTCCAGCCAGGGCCCTTCCCAGGAGGTGGGAGAACCCCTCAGAGCACACTCAAGTCTTATTTCTATGTTGCCCCTTCTCACTGTGCTCACCCTCTTGTGCCAGTTCCTGATGTGCTGCCCTCATTTCACCTCCTGTCCCCTTTCCTCCCCAGCTCTGCCAAGCCAAGGGGTTCATCTGCGAGTTTTGTCAGAATGAGGATGACATCATCTTTCCTTTTGAGCTCCATAAGTGCCGGACCTGCGAAGGTGAGGGCTGGTGCCAGGTGTGGAGTGGGCGAACAAGACTGAACACAAAGCTAATTTATTTCCCCTCAGCCGTCCTTATTAGAAAGAGTTTGGTTTGATTCAGTACCTCCCTGTGTTTCACCACAGGCACGCTGAGCAGTTGACATGAGAAGGGGCTATGGCAGGACTTACTTCCAGCTGCAGATAATACAGATTGTTCTCTTCTCTCTCACCTCCCAACCTTAACAGAGTGTAAAGCATGTTACCATAAAACTTGTTTCAAGTCTGGAAGCTGTCCTCGGTGTGAGCGGCTACAGGCCCGGCGGGAGTTGCTGGCCAAGCAGAGCCTGGAGTCCTACATGTCAGACTACGAGGAGGAACCCACTGAAGCCTTGGCTCTAGAGGCCACCGTCCCGGAGACCACCTGAAGAGGGCACATTCAGCCCTCTTCCTAGGGGCTAGGATCACACATAATGCAGAACCGAGCCACCCTTTTAAGGACTTTCCCCACTTGGTTTATTTTTTTTTTAATTATTACCATTATTTTTTATGATTTGTCTAAAGTCCATGTGCAGTCAACCTTTGTTCCATTGGTGGGGTCCAGTCTATTGTGACTACTGTAGGTAGTATTTCCATCAGAACCGACACATGGGTCTTAGGTGAAGCTTTTGGTGCCTCTGTCAGGGGAACGGACAGCAAGACCCAATTTTTCTGGCATCCCTGGCCTACTACTTGGACCAGATCTGGTTTCCCAAGTATCACTTCTGGTTTTATTTTGTTGTGGTTCTGGGCTTCTGAGCCAGGCCTTTCTCAGCCAACTCACTTCTCCTTTGCTGCTGAAACAGGAGGATGGAGTTTTCTCTCTCTCAATCCTGGAATAGGGTCAGACTGTGCCCTGAGGAGAAGCAGCAGAGAATGGGACTACATTGTGGGCATTCTGTCCAGATTATTTAGGTATTTTTGAGGCTATAAAAATAGCATCATTACTACCCTGGAATCCTCAGAGTCCTCAGCAAAGCAGCCATGACTTCCTTGTTTGAAATACTCTAGGCAAAAACGGTGTCACAAGCTGACTTTCTTTATCTACCCTGGTGGGCTTGAAGCAAAAAACAGAATAGATACTTAGGCCAGGCCCCTTCATAGCCTTACACGAAGCGCAAGGGAGGCTGCGACTGTTGCTCAAGGAGCATTCACTCAGTCGGAGCTCTTCGAAGGCGATCGGGTCCCTTTTAGTCAACCTCGCTCTGGTACAGGTATGATCTTTCAAGCTCAGGCAAGTCCCTCATGCCATCCTAAACTGAGGATGGAAACCCCATCACCATCTTATTAGTGGGCCTCTTGCCTCTTTGTCCTGTTAGATGTCATCGTGGCCCAGCTCCATTCCCTCTATGCCCTTCCTGTAACAGAGCCAGAACCCTCCCCAGTGGCTGATCTCTTGCCTTAGTTTCTTTTGTCAAAGTTGGAGAAAAGCATCCTACTATTAGTGGTGTTAAAGAACTTGACAATTTATAGATATAGGTGTGAATGTTCCTGTGTTCTTGGGATAAATGAGTCTTTAAGCCTATTATGCACTGAATGCTTTACCTTGGTGATACTCATATGTGCAGTCATTCTTTTCACATTACTAATTTTAAAACACACACCCTTTTTTAAATGTGCATTTTGATGGGAAAAGTTTTTGAGGGGACCATGTATATGTTTGTGGTGCTCTCTATGTTGCTTAGCCCCTGACTTCTGTGTAAAACACTGGTCAGGATCGCTGCTCTAGGGGATGGCAGCTGTGTGAACAAAAGCCCACAGCATTTTTCTTCTGGGACTTACTTCTTCCTGTGGACCCGTCTTTCCACAGTTGGGTGCTAGGAGAAAAAACCGTGTGGGTGCTGCCCCAGGAAGCTGAACAGAAAGTAGTGCATGGATGGTGGAAGCTGATAAGTACCTGAGCTAGAGGCAACCAGGACCCTCACAGAGCACAGGAGGAGCAGTAAGGCAAGGGCCAGAGCTGAGTCTCCATCAGGGCTGAAGGAAACAGGGAGAGATTGCCCCCAGCCTTGGGAATCTGAGGCTGCGTCAGGTTGGAAGACCGTGAGGCACTTCTTCCTCCAGCTCATGGTGGGGGAGCCTCTGAAAGCCAAGGCTTCCAGCCACGCCCAGTTTTGAAGGGCTGACTAGATGCTTCCTTTGTCCTTCCAGGAGCTTAGGGAATGACCCCACAAAACTCAAGTCTCACTAAGGGTTAGGCCTCAGAGTCAGACTCAGAGATTTGTAAAAAATGGTGACTCTGCTTCCAGTTTTTGTTAAAATTGCAAATCCAGCTCCTTACTCCAAGTCTCCACACTGGGCTAGAGAGACACTCTCATTACTGTCCTGCCTGTTTCATATCAGTGGACAGAAAATGCTGACACTGTTTCTAAAGCTGAGCTCAACAATCTCATATCCTCCTGGTTTTTCATTGTTTTTTTCTCCACCTCCCCCATTCCATCCCTTTAGCTTGCATATCTGTTTAAGTGACCCTGACACTCTGCTGTCAACACTGTCCAAATACCCATTTATTTATTTATTTGAGAATAAGGAGAGAGAGGAAAGAAGATGGGATGTTTTGAAAGCACTTTGCAACTTACCAGTATCTGAAAATCCCCTGCTTTTGTGGAGAAAAGTTTTGAATGCACTGAAGAGAGTTCCTTCTGAATGAAATGGGAGGGAGAAGTGTTCTTTTCTATAAATAAGGGGGAAGAAATGGTTGCTTACAAGGTAGGGACAAAATTGAAGACATAGCAGAGGAGTGGAAGGCAAATGTTTTCCACTTAAATGAGGCTGTTACTGACTTTTCTCTGCCAAGTATGTCGAGCTTTTGCTAGATTAGTGTAAAAGGAGCAGGAGTCTGAATAGAGATGTGTGTGTGCCACTCATATTCTGAACTAGATTGCTCCTTGCTGCATTTCATACACAGCCTAACAGTTCACTGTCATGTTAATAAACCAAGGAAATGAAATTTTGCCTCTTACTTGCCTGCCTTGACTATCAGGAAATGGTACTGAGTGTCCACTGAGGCCCACATGTCTGCAAATTGAGGAGGTTTCTGTGTTTATAATGCGAACCAGATTGTACAAGTCAGGAAGAGGGGGCCGGAATGCTTCATCACTGACTTGCCCTGTGTCCTTGTCCAATCACTGCACCTCTTGGGATTTCTATTTCTTTGTGTGGAAAAGACTACATGCCACATAGTCCTTTCCCGTGTACGGGTGTGCCCCCACCCATCCCCAGTGTGTAAGTGTCTCTTAAAGTGTGGTAAACCTTCCACAGCATCTGAATGGCTTAGATGTTCAGCTCCCACTTCTGTGAGCAACTGGCTCTGAGTTTCTTATGCTCCAGCTCTGTCCTGCATCCTTCTGCACATTTCCCCTCTGAGTCTGCTGATCCTCTCCAACCGATATGTCTAAAACCGACATGAATAGTCTTTCTCTCTGACCTAACAATTAGTCACCCCGGTTTGAAATTTTAGTCATGTTCAGTTGCCTTCCTCTAAGTCAGGCAGTTATGTCCAGCTAGTAAAGCATTATCCCCCTTCCCACCACCTGGCAACATGTTCTGTTGATTTTTCTCTTTAAAATAAGTCTGTTTCATTCATTTTCTGTCAGTTGCACACAGATTCAGCTACCTATCTTACATCCCAGTCTCTTCCTCTTTAATCCAGCAAATATTTGGGTACCTACTGTAGGCAGGTTTCTCTGCCAGGCTCTGGAGCTGCAGCAGGGAGACAGTCTCTGCCCTTCAGGTACTTAGATCCCACCAGGAAAACAGGCATTGCCCAAAGTCTCCAAAATGAATATGTAATTACAAGCGGTAATGAGAGCTCTGAAGGAAAAGAACTGATGCTATTAAATAAATAATGAGAACCTAATTTAGATCAGAGACAAGTAAGGCCCCTGAGAAAGTGATGCTTCAACCAAGACCCAAAGAATGAGGCTCGGAGTAGGGAGAAAAGGGCTCCATCTTTCAAGCTCAGGCAAGTCCCTCATGCCATCCTAAACTGAGGATGGAAACCCCATCACCATCTTATTAGTGGGCCTCTTGCCTCTTTGTCCTGTTAGATGTCATCGTGGCCCAGCTCCATTCCCTCTATGCCCTTCCTGTAACAGAGCCAGAACCCTCCCCAGTGGCTGATCTCTTGCCTTAGTTTCTTTTGTCAAAGTTGGAGAAAAGCATCCTACTATTAGTGGTGTTAAAGAACTTGACAATTTATAGATATAGGTGTGAATGTTCCTGTGTTCTTGGGATAAATGAGTCTTTAAGCCTATTATGCACTGAATGCTTTACCTTGGTGATACTCATATGTGCAGTCATTCTTTTCACATTACTAATTTTAAAACACACACCCTTTTTTAAATGTGCATTTTGATGGGAAATGTTTTTGAGGGGACCATGTATATGTTTGTGGTGCTCTCTATGTTGCTTAGCCCCTGACTTCTGTGTAAAACACTGGTCAGGATCGCTGCTCTAGGGGATGGCAGCTGTGTGAACAAAAGCCCACAGCATTTTTCTTCTGGGACTTACTTCTTCCTGTGGACCCGTCTTTCCACAGTTGGGTGCTAGGAGAAAAAACCGTGTGGGTGCTGCCCCAGGAAGCTGAACAGAAAGTAGTGCATGGATGGTGGAAGCTGATAAGTACCTGAGCTAGAGGCAACCAGGACCCTCACAGAGCACAGGAGGAGCAGTAAGGCAAGGGCCAGAGCTGAGTCTCCATCAGGGCGGAAGGAAACAGGGAGAGATTGCCCCCAGCCTTGGGAATCTGAGGCTGCGTCAGGTTGGAAGACCGTGAGGCACTTCTTCCTCCAGCTCATGGTGGAGGAGCCTCTGAAAGCCAAGGCTTCCAGCCAAGCCCAGTTTTGAAGGGCTGACTAGATGCTTCCTTTGTCCTTCCAGGAGCTTAGGGAATGACCCCACAAAACTCAAGTCTCACTAAGGGTTAGGCCTCAGAGTCAGACTCAGAGATTTGTAAAAAATGGTGACTCTGCTTCCAGTTTTTGTTAAAATTGCAAATCCAGCTCCTTACTCCAAGTCTCCACACTGGGCTAGAGAGACACTCTCATTACTGTCCTGCCTGTTTCATATCAGTGGACAGAAAATGCTGACACTGTTTCTAAAGCTGAGCTCAACAATCTCATATCCTCCTGGTTTTTCATTGTTTTTTTCTCCACCTCCCCCATTCCATCCCTTTAGCTTGCATATCTGTTTAAGTGACCCTGACACTCTGCTGTCAACACTGTCCAAATACCCATTTATTTATTTATTTGAGAATAAGGAGAGAGAGGAAAGAAGATGGGATGTTTTGAAAGCACTTTGCAACTTACCAGTATCTGAAAATCCCCTGCTTTTGTGGAGAAAAGTTTTGAATGCACTGAAGAGAGTTCCTTCTGAATGAAATGGGAGGGAGAAGTGTTCTTTTCTATAAATAAGGGGGAAGAAATGGTTGCTTACAAGGTAGGGACAAAATTGAAGACATAGCAGAGGAGTGGAAGGCAAATGTTTTCCACTTAAATGAGGCTGTTACTGACTTTTCTCTGCCAAGGATGTTGAGCTTTTGCTAGATTAGTGTAAAAGGAGCAGGAGTCTGAATAGAGATGTGTGTGTGCCACTCATATTCTGAACTAGATTGCTCCTTGCTGCATTTCATACACAGCCTAACAGTTCACTGTCATGTTAATAAACCAAGGAAATGAAATTTTGCCTCTTACTTGCCTGCCTTGACTATCAGGAAATGGTACTGAGTGTCCACTGAGGCCCACATGTCTGCAAATTGAGGAGGTTTCTGTGTTTATAATGCGAACCAGATTGTACAAGTCAGGAAGAGGGGGCCGGAATGCTTCATCACTGACTTGCCCTGTGTCCTTGTCCAATCACTGCACCTCTTGGGATTTCTATTTCTTTGTGTGGAAAAGACTACATGCCACATAGTCCTTTCCCGTGTACGGGTGTGCCCCCACCCATCCCCAGTGTGTAAGTGTCTCTTAAAGTGTGGTAAACCTTCCACAGCATCTGAATGGCTTAGATGTTCAGCTCCCACTTCTGTGAGCAACTGGCTCTGAGTTTCTTATGCTCCAGCTCTGTCCTGCATCCTTCTGCACATTTCCCCTCTGAGTCTGCTGATCCTCTCCAACCGATATGTCTAAAACCGACATGAATAGTCTTTCTCTCTGACCTAACAATTAGTCACCCCGGTTTGAAATTTTAGTCATGTTCAGTTGCCTTCCTCTAAGTCAGGCAGTTATGTCCAGCTAGTAAAGCATTATCCCCCTTCCCACCACCTGGCAACATGTTCTGTTGATTTTTCTCTTTAAAATAAGTCTGTTTCATTCATTTTCTGTCAGTTGCACACAGATTCAGCTACCTATCTTACATCCCAGTCTCTTCCTCTTTAATCCAGCAAATATTTGGGTACCTACTGTAGGCAGGTTTCTCTGCCAGGCTCTGGAGCTGCAGCAGGGAGACAGTCTCTGCCCTTCAGGTACTTAGATCCCACCAGGAAAACAGGCATTGCCCAAAGTCTCCAAAATGAATATGTAATTACAAGCGGTAATGAGAGCTCTGAAGGAAAAGAACTGATGCTATTAAATAAATAATGAGAACCTAATTTAGATCAGAGACAAGTAAGGCCCCTGAGAAAGTGATGCTTCAACCAAGACCCAAAGAATGAGGCTCGGAGTAGGGAGAAAAGGGCTCCAAACCAGGACTGGCCCATGTGGTGGTCTTGAGATGGGAGGAGTTTGGGCGGGAACTGCAAGAAGGACTTCCTACGGATTTTAGGTTTTATTCTAAGAACATTGGAAAGCCATTGAAGAGTTTTAATCAGAGGCGTTACTAATCTGGTTAAAATGTCAGTGGTTGTCTTTCAGAGAGTAAATAGAGTAAAGGTAGAGTTGCATAGTAGGACCTTCTTCCAGAAAGATAGATGCAGTGGTTCAGGAAATTATGTTGGTTTGGATCACAGTGTGGCCTGTGGCCATCGTCATCACTGTGACCTCATTACCCAGAAAGCTCTAAAAACAAGATAAATTCCACATGTCCTGCTCTGGCTCTGACATTTTAAAGCAGGGAACAAAAGGCTGGAGGCAAGATATTGGAAAGATACTGGGCTAAATTATAGAATCCAAGGAAAGTTCACTGCTAAGTCTGAGGAGAAACAGAGACCAGGGCAACTCTGGGAACCTCTAGCAGCAGAATTTGCAGACCTTCTGAGTCTGCTACCTGCAAGCAGAATTATGGCCGTGCCAGGGATTCACCCTGAGTGTTTGGAAACACCCCAAAGAAAGGGGAGAAGTGATCTGGGCAGTTGTCTACTGTAGCAGTATGTTTTCATCATTTTCTGTGGCCCCATGTGTGTGTAGGTTTACTGTGCCCCCTGAATGGTATAAAGAGGAGGCATAATCTTTATAGCATCTTGGTTAAAGTGAGACCCAACCCTGCTTCCTTTTTCTTTTGAACTTTTGGCTTAGAGTATGAGAGAAAGGGAGCACTTTGCCCACCTTGTGGTGTTGACTCTTGTGCCCTGATCTGCAACAGTCCTCTCCCACACCCAGTGTCCAGGGTAGCTGACTGCCTGCTTTGAAAGTTTGAATGATAGCAGTTGCCACACAGCCCGAGCTTTCCCACTGGGAGCTTGATGTTCTTGGGATCCAGGATGATCGTGATTAGAAAGGAAAGAGAATCTGCCTAGCGCCGCTCTTCTTGGAGCTTGGAGAGCAGGACAGTGTGCTTTGTGTACGCCCCTGCTTCCCTCAGCTCTGTGAACTTCTGGAGGAGGAGCAGAAAGCAAAGAGCTGGCCTCTGGCTCTGGAGGTACACTTATCTCCAGACCAGTGAGATGAGAGAGAGTGGGTTAAAATAAACCTCGATGGTAGGAAGGTTCAGGTTGTAGGCGGGAGTTGTAGTGATCAGCTGTCTGAGAGGCTCTCAGACCAGTAGGACACAACTTTGAAACACAGCATGCAGCCCAGATGATCCCTA